CCCAGAATTAGGATAGATAAAAAAAAAAAGACACCAGAGCACCAGGAGGCATCCTTGGAACAGAGTCATTTTGAATCCGAGTTAATCAGTTTCATTCCCAACCTACAATCAAACATGAGATGCAGCGTAAAATAAAAGTATGCAGAAAAAATGGGGAGTAAGCCCCCCAAACCCCTGCTGCAAAGGAGCTCTTTGCCATCCCCTGCTTTTTCATCTCCCCCACTGCTCCTAACTGCTACCATTTTATGTCTTCTACCTAACCTTTCTCCATGTCTTCTCTCTAGTTCGTGTCTGTCCAGCCTCTGCATTACACTTGCCTGCAGCTAGACAGCGTGAAGTGGCTGATGTTTTGAAAAGCTGCTATAAACAGCAGCTTTGCCATGAGAGGGACACTCCTTGTGTTTTAGCTTGGCACATTCGTAGGTAGCTAAATGCTTGCAAGAAGTCTCCTTCCCACCAGCCTCTCCCAACACTGGTAAGGAAGGAGCCCAGCAGCGGTGCAGGCAGACCTTGACACTGGGACCGAAGTGGGCACCTTCGCCTCTCCCAGCCCTGATGGCTGCCCTTCACTAGTGCTTGCGAGGGGCTGTCTGAAAGGAGAACCTCTCAGGTCTTTATATCATTATTTCTGGTACTTGGATGGAGTCTGCTCAAAAGCAGTGTCATTTCTACAAGGTGAATCCTCATTAGTTACAAACCTAGACAGCACACCTTCAAAACACCATTTTTTCTACCTTTTCCAGAATCTCTCAGATTCATCTTTTCTCCTAAAACTGGGAGAAAAAATGACAGCAAAAGGTCAGAAGACAGGAGCTAAAAAAAAAAATTACAGAAGCCAGCAAAAGATCCTAAAATATTAAACATCTTCCACGAGAATGCAGCTTGCAAAAAAAAATCAAACTGCAAAGAAATGGCTATTATTTTTCCTATTTTGAAGCTGCTTCTCTGGGGATGCTGGACACACAAAATTCTGCCAGTAGCAACAAACACAGGTTTCCATGCACAAATCCAATTAATTCCATCCAAACTATAATACAAGAGTGAGGAGAAAAAAGGCCAGAAAACAGGTACCCAGGTACTATAAATTCCAAGTAAGCAAAACAAATACTATAATAAACATTAAGAAACCTGTAATAAACTTTAAGCTGTTTTTAACATCTTTAAGCCTCTAGTTCCCTACTATTAAAAAGGGGTGTAACAAAAGTATAGAAACCACAGAACAAAGTATTTCATAGGTGTTTCATGTAGGTACCATCTCACCACATTTCCTTCCTAAGTACCTTCCATTTCAGGTAATATTTTGAAAAGTCATCCATGTTAAAAATAGCCTAAATAAGTCTGGAAGGAAACACTGCTTGCCTCTTTCACCACTGGAGATGCCTCATGATTACAAGAGTCCTTCTGACTCAGCTTCTCAAAGACAAGATGGTTGCTGAAAAGCAAGTACAGAATTATCTCAGTCTCTAAACTGGTGAATATAAAGGAAAAGAAGGATACATTATTAGAGTAATATCCAGGAAAAAAAGCATCTGAGTTTCTACCTTCCCTTTTTCTGACACAGAAACTTACCTGCTTTGTTCTTCTATGGACTTAACAAACCAACACACAGGAAATCAGTTCTAGGCTTTGTCTTTTATTATCTAGAGACAGCACGCTCAAAAAAAAACCAAACCAAAAAATCCCAACCAACAAACCAAATAAACAAACCCCAAACCCCCCAAAAACACCAAGACTGAAAAACCCCCAAACAAACCTTCCCAAAGCCCAAAACTAAACAGCACCTCCATACAAACACACAGCAGTAGACACATTTTTAACCTTTTTTTTTTTTTTCACCCCCCGTCTCCAAAGACCCACAAAATCTGATCAGCTGGTGGCAACTCTTACAGAAGAGAAATGAGTTTGTGCATCAGTAAGGATACCTCCTCTCAGCAACAAAGCTCTCCCAGGTGAGGTTGCCATACTTCCATTGGCTGACAAAGTCAAATTACTGGAGGTTTGCACATGTGCCTGTGTTTTGATTTTTAAAAATGCTCTTAATCATTCCAGCTAATGTTGCCAGTACATATTCATTTGATGAAGTGGTCATAGACCTCAAGACTGAGGAGTTACATCACTTCATTAATTTCCACTTGTCTTCTGGGTACAAGCACATCTAATGGGACAAAATATGTTTGTAGCATAATGCACTTCTGATATTCTCAATTACAGCAGGTTGTTAAGACTTTTTAGCAGAAGTATAAATCAGGGTGGCATGAAGAGAACTAGTTTTATTAAGCAGCGAGTTTCAGGAAAGAAGCCAGACAGCTTCCCTGAGAAAACCACTTCTAACTAAGAACACATCCTAATTCCGAAACCATGGGCAATTCTGAGAAAGACAGTAAGTGTAGAAAAAGTTTTGTGTGAAGCACATTTAAGGACAGTAAACCTCAGTAGACACCTCCAGAAAGCACCAAAGCTACAAAGCATTGGTCAAAGAAAAGGATTCAGGTTCATAAAATGTTTAGAAGTAAATAAGAGCAAATCAGAATGCAATTAATCAGGGCATCGAGACCACTGTTAACCAGAAGAAGTCACTCACAATGGACCCTAGTTTGAATACTGTTTCTGTTTTTCTACTAACTGTAAGCACAGGGGGCCAGCCTTGGGTAGAAGTCGCTTTGAATTCTTTGTTACCTTCTTAAGTTTAGACAATGAAAAACTGCAGGCAGATGGAAAACCACTTTTGTGAATTCCATTAAAAAATCACCATAGACATCATACCTGATGTTTTGAGGCAGCCACTGATGCATAACTGACTTCACAGTTAATAGAAATTATATACCTAGCAGGTCTTACACCATTACCAGAGTACCTACTTTTATTTTCAGTAGATTTCTGACCTTGAGAATATATTGTAGATTACCCTATTAAGGATGTGCCTCTCCAGATTAAAGGGGGGGGGGGAAATAAAAAAAAAGCATGACTACCAAAGCTATGGAAATAACGTTCTTGTAACAGCACCTCATTTTAGTGAGAAAAGCAAAATAAAGAATGCTTAATTTGCAGATGTGACCTATACAGACTCTGCTGATAAACAGGCCCACTCAGAATACATCCACTTTCATAATTTTTTCCATTCCATAGGATAATATGGAATAATCTTCCCAAAAGCACGACAAAAACATTAAGCATTGCAAAAAGAAATATGTCAATACCTCATTTCACAATCACTTTTACATTTATTAAACTGAGCTACCATTTTATACATTGGTACAAGCACCCCAAGTCTAAACAAAGTCTAAACAGAGCAGGTGATTCTTTGAAAAACTAATAAAAATGCCACTAGATATTTTTCAGGTTTTTGAACAGACACATGAACAAGCAGATCTCTGTAAAACCAGCTGAAGTTGGCCTTCTCAGAATTACCCATTCCAAGAACACTAATTAAGAAAATAATTCCAGCAACAGAAATTCCAGCAGGAA